TTGGGGAACTGATGAATATGTACAGATGGTTCCAAATGGAACTGAAACTCAGGCAAACAAACTACAGTTTGAACAGCAGGAGGCCACCTGTCATCGGGACTTACACTGTAAAGGATCTGGGAGCTGTGGCACCTACATCTAATTCCCTGCTGCAAAGCTTTGCTCTGCATCTTATAACTACGGTACGTTATCACTGATTGGTGCAACAGCCTCAGTAGTTCAATGTTATAAGTTTCTCCCAGGAGAAAAAAAAGTGGGCTTTTACTGATTTAAAATAAGAGGCACAACCCTGCATACCTTGAGAAGGCCTGTGTGTGCTGCACCCATGGTTGGAAACGATCAGTCAACGTGTGTCATGAGAGGTGAGATGCTGGCTGTACTGTGCGTTACCCTGCGGGGTTTTGCAGGTGCAGTCGATCGGAGAGAGGGTGGTGCTCTTCCTCCTCAGCCAGGTTGTTTTCGGGACCCTGGAGAGACCTGTGGACGAGGACATCTACTTCACGCCTCACCCCGCCGGGGAGCTGGGAAAAATCCTGTGGCGGGACGGGGAGGCGGCTGGCTTTTACACCATCAAGAGGAAAGGTGCCTGTCGCACGGGTTGGGTTAACAGTTGATCACAGATGACAGCAGTAAGGCTGGGTTAGTTAGTTTCGGTTGTGTAACGGGAGCCGGTCCAGGCTCCCGTGAAGTGCGTAGTTAGGACCCTATGCAGACGGTATGATCCAGAAATAACTGGAGAAAGACAACAGGGAAAACACAATGGGGATCGGGACAGGATGACGGACATGGGGGCGTGATGACAGTGATCCGGTGCTTGGGGGGCGTGGCGCAGGCAAACAAGTCCAAACTGTCCAAAATGGCAAACCGGGGCGCAGTCCAGGGTCCAGGTGCCGGGAGAACCATCCAAGACAAACAAGGTTAAAATCCGGAATGGGATCCGGAAAAGGAACAGGGAATTAAAAACAGGGTAATGAGGCCGGGTGCTCCGAGCCCCACACTCAGATGGTCAGGAGGCCGTGATGAAGTCTATGCCATCAGGTCTCTCTTGGACCCGCTGGTAGATGGGCTTCTGGGCGTCCATCTTCCAATGCTGAGCCTGGAATAGGGGGAGCGCCAGGCTTATATATTGGCAGACAAAACAGGGGGCAGGTGCACATAATCAAGTGAAATACGAAAGGGTCAGAGAGCCCTTAAGAGGAGGGATGACGATCGTGACAGGTTGGGTCTGTAGCGAACATGTATAGCAGGGCTTAGATCACTGATACGCATTCCTGGTCCTGGAAACCTGCAGGTAAGTGAAGACCTGGTAACAGTGGTAATCAAGACTAATCAAGTGAAGAGGTGATTCAAATACAGTGGTTAAGAGTCCAGGGGGAAGGAAACCCAAGGACCAGGGGAGAACTCTGATAGCTTAGGAAAACAAGACAAGTTTGGCTGATCTCAGATTTCCCTTCATTCATAAACCAGAACTTGGCAGCTCAAAGTCTTTTTCTCATACTTTTGGATGCCTGAGGGATATATAATATAAATCCTTCTGACAAGATTTGTTCTACGCCTTGTCAGATACAGAGGGTAGATGTACTGTATGCTCCCAGTGAAAACAGTAGGAATAAATACCTTACATTCCCAGTCCAGAT